TGAAAGCTTACCCTCATTGGAGCAGGCTCGCCGGGCAAACGAAACCGCACATGAAATGAAGCCAACCTCGCGCCAGTTCCGCTAGCTTTTCTTGCACTGCAGCGACAGCCTCGCGACACCCTCACACACACTTGGAAAAAGAAGTGAAGTGCATCGAATTCCGCCACGCTCCCTATGCAAACTGCGCCCAAAACATGTGAAGGCCTCGCTAGAACTCAAGATGGTCAGAACCGTGCAAAGGACTCACTGGCATCATCTCAAGTTATAACATTGTGCAACCTTCATCGCACAAGGCGGTAGATGGTGGTAGAACATCCTTGAAAAATGGCCACCAAAGCAGGTTTTGGGCACCCATGTAGAGTTTCAAGGCGATGCTGCAACTACCACCCTGTGATTTCGAAAGGCTCGGGCTGCTTCCTACAAACATCACTTGGGTATGAATTGTCTTTGGGGCTGCTGGCATCACCCTGTTGCCTCCCTCAGCAGGCATTTGTCAAGTTGCACTTCAGCCGGATCGCACTGCAAGGTCGCCGGCGGTCACAGATCCAGCGGGCAGGCGTCTCCCAGGGCCAAAGCCGAGCTCTTCAGCACAAAGTGGGCGCAAGGCGTCAGGCAGAGATGGAAGAGCCCGTGGCCCCAGTGCCCTAAGGCGGAGCTCTTCTTCCAGCAAACCTGGCAAAAAAAGCCAGAGATGCTGTGCACGAAAGTGGGTAAGGAGGGTGACTAAACCAAAATTGGGGAATTGTGCCTACTTTCACCCAACCGAAAATAAGTTCGTCAAGCAATCCAGCCCGGGATCTGTTGTGGCCATTGCTACTCGAACGGTTTCATGTGCTCAGAAATGTTGAGAAGGCGCAAAGAAAACGGCAGGGGATTGTTCAGAAAGAGTGTCCTCCTACAAACAAAAAATCTGAGATTTGGCAGCCCCCCCCCCCCCCCCGCCCGCTGGCGAACAGCCGATAAAATAGGGTGTTCTGTTGGATTCCAATTCTTTGACAGGCGTAGCGCTCCCCAGCAGTACATTTAGTATAGGCGGTAGAGATCACACGGCAACCACGACATTCACGAGATGTCAAGATTCAAAGCCGAGCTGCGCCGCCCACGGCGTAGAAAAGGCTCACCCAGGTGAAGTTGGCCAAATCGCCCCGGGCCAACATGGCAGAGAGGTAGAGCAGAATGCCCCCCGCCGCGGGCAATGAGTCTGCCTGGCTGCCCGGCACACCACGCAAATGCCGGAAGATCAGCCAGAAGACGCAGGCCAAATTCAGGAGCATCGCCAGCAGCCTTGGCACCGCAACCCAAAGTCATGGCCGTGTTTCGGCATCTGGGCCGTTCTGTTCCTCAGCTTATTTCGGCTTGAACGGGAAGTTTGGGCGTGGCCAGCAAGCTTGAAAATTAAGCAAGGTTTGAATATCGGCTCTCAACAATGCAACATTGACGACCTCAAAAAGCACGAAGCCAGCAGCGAAACAAGGAACCCACGATGCAGGAATGCTAAACAAGAATGAACCTTGACAAAGCAATATACCACATAAACATCCTAAGATGATGTGCCCGTTTCACCTTCCCCGCAAGGCGAGACAAAAGCACACATTATGGACAAAACTCGTGAACAACGCGCGCCAGGCCGCATCAGGTGACATGCGCTTTGGGGCAGGGAGCCTTGGCTTTCAATTGAGGGCCTCAATGTGGAGTCCTTCGTGCTTAAATCCCATCGTCAAGACACCTTCGCCTCTGGAGTGAATCATTGAATACAAGGCAGTGCCGACCCCTGCAAGCGGGGGTATCCTGAAAGGGCCGAGTAGCTCGAAGATGGCGTTGTCGTCTGACACCGCATGTGTGTAGGCCAGCAGGCACACATGGATCATGGACAGGTCCATGGTGCGCAAAGGGCTCATAAAATGGTTGAAGTCCTTCAGGGGAGACGCAAAGCGCCACCTCCCAAAATCCATTCTTGTGTTTCTGCAGTATGTATTGGCAACAAATGCTACGACGTCTTGCACAAATCACGTGGCGAACAAACAGCCGCAGCCCCATCCTTTCGGCCACTATACAATGCACATTGGCAGTGGTAGGCGCCTCGGCACAAAAGCAAAACATGAAAGTAGGTGCCAGCTGTTGTCCTCAGGCTGCCGTTGCTAGACATGCCCAACAATCCGAACACGGCTTGCACTGCACTCCCTGGCCCTTAGACACACCTGTGGCATGGAGCAAGCTCACCCATTTTTCTTCACGTACCCTCATTTTCGGTGGTGTTACGGTGGCTGTGCTGATGCAGGCCTTTTCGATTTAGGTTCCGGTCAGCCAGCCAAGGGGACTTGGGCGTCCGATGCCAAGCTCCCGCCGAGGCACAGCTGAACAAGCAATGCGCGTAGGTGGCCCAGGTCATGAGCCGAATTCGGCTGGGTACGCCTTCGGTTTGGTTGTGAAAGGCCAGGTAAACGCTGGGCACCAGCATGGTGATAGCGTTGAACATCTCCTGCCAAAAGCCAGCTGCCATCGTGGGTCAAAGCTGGCGCAAATGCGCACACACGCAAACAAGTGTCTATTCTTGCTTTCATGTTGAGGCACGCCCTGCCCTGAGCCCAAAAAAGAAACCTATGTCTCATTCAATCCTTGCAAGTGCCCTGGGTCTGATGCCCTGCTAATCTGTTCGCAAGCGTGTTCATGCATTGCATGCACAACTGCAAAGCAAAAGCAGGCCCATTCTCATGAAGGCTGCATGCTGTGAGCCTACCAGATCCACCTAACTGTGCCAAACACATGACCAGGTCATCAGTGCTAGGCTTGTGCCAGGGACAGCAGCGGGCGGCGGAAAGAGTTGTGATGCTGATGCTCCACATATGTGCCAGCAGTTTTTTTTGTGGTTCGGGGCCTATACACAACTTGCACGCCTACGCGGAAGCCTCCACAAGCCTACGCCGCTGCAAAGGGTGCCTACGCGAGCACAAGTCAGCTTCCCGGTGCCTACGCGGACGCCCTCAGTTCAAGTGTTGAAGTGCAGTTTGGCAGCTGCAACTGGCTAATCGCAACTTTTCACTACAAGAGCAGTTTTGTTAGAATTGAGAACCCACATCTGTTGAAGGATTTGGCTGCTAGAAAAGGTCTACGTACGCTAAAATGCCTTGAACGCCCACGCGAATGCCTACACGGGGCCTACGCGGAGCCTACCCGAAGACTGCAGAACAAACGGAATGATGGCAAAAGAAGCTAATTCCGTCATACTTGGCAAACAGCATTGAGCCATGATTTGTTCAAACGCCTACGCGAAAAGCCTACGCGAGGGCTGACACAACAGCCTGCAGAAGCCTACGCGAGCCTACGCCCCCAACCAGGATTGACTCCACAAAGTACATGCAGTTTCCTCTTTGTATAAACCCTTCATTTGATTGAAAACCGCTGCTCGAATCTGGGCCAACGTCTAAATTTCTTACATGCCCACCAACATTCACCAACAGCAATCTTCGACACGTGGGAGCAAGTTGACTCGATCAGCTTTGCAACCCCCTTTTCCAACCCCAAACGCTGTAGGCATTCCAAGTTGTAAATCATTGTGTCATGGCGTGGGTTTTTTGGTTGAGGCGGCTCCGCCACCCACCGTAAAACAGTCCAACCAAAATGGCTGTTGCCACAAAATCGCGGCTTCAATGCTCAGGGCCTGCGACGCCGGCCACATGGGAGTAAGTCAGCCCCCTTGTGCATTCGCTCCATGCGAATCTTGCAGTTGGAAGCCTCCCTTTGAGCCAAGCAACAAAACATTGGCTCTCTTTCAAGGCAAGCCCCATCGTCCCCCTGCCCGCACTCCCCGGGGATGCGCACACCCATCCCCGGCGTGCCTTGGGAATCCATTGCTCGCACGTGTTGCGACAGCAAAGGTGCGCCCTTTGGGTCCCTTGCCTCAGGGCGGAACTTCCGGCGAGAAAGCGGAAGCAGCCGCCAACTTTTCGGGGGCCGGTCACTGAATGAGAATTGGATGAGTGCCAGCCCGACAGCTTGACACCTGGTGACCATTGGCGCAATCCAAATGTTGCCTTTCTGCGCACATAAAATCACAACTTCCGAGCCGCGAGCCTGGATTTGGGAGGTGACACGCTGGCGGCGCTAAGGCCAGCACAACACTACCAGCTTCCACAAAATCCCAAAGAAATCAGCCCATTTGCACTCTTCCTGCGTCTTCAGGTGTGTTTCCCGTCCCTTTCCTTTGCTCAAAAAGTTGCACCAATTCACCGGGTTTGCCCCCCCAGTTCGCCTTGCTTCTCGCTTTGCTTAGCTCCCGGCCAAGCGCGGCACACTCTGCACGAGCTCCCGCAGCCTGGATTCGGAGAGAGGCTCATGGCTCGAGGTTCGAAACAACTCTCCTAGGTTCTGTCCGGATTTGTCTGACTTTTGTCAGAGTTTCCCTGGGTGTCTGGATGTTCCTAGGTTGTGCCTGAAAACAACACCACGCCTTGTGACACCAAAGTGGTGACGATCTGTCATAAGAGGAGTGCCCTAAATCCTTGTCACAACGGCGAACCAACTTCCTAAGTTCTGAGAAAAGCAACGTATTTCCTCAAAAAGGGGTCCATTCCCCAAAGAATGGTCCTCCAATGTTAGTCTGGAGGGGAGGCACCTTCAGGTCGCCTCTGTCAAGATTTGTTGCGCGTATATTACTGGACGCCTGAAGTATAAGAATGGAATACCTCGAGTTTCATCTGAAAGTCAAAAGCCTCTACTCGACAATGTATCTTGATGAGTCTTAACCAGCGTCGCAACAGGACAAGCATGCCAGGCCCGCGCAGCATCCCAACTGCGTGCCATCATCAGCATGTCGTTGCCTGGCAGGCAACGAGGGCCAGAATTCCTTTGCCTACCTTGAATGTGTCCCATGCCTACGTTGGGCCGGGATGCAACCTTACTCGTGGGAGGGCAAGCGCGGCGTGTCGCAATCACCAAGGACAAGGTGGACAAATCTGTTGCATCCTTTCCGCCTGCCAAAAACAGCTTGTACGAAAATGATTTTGGCGTCGGTCCTTCCATTCTGTTCTGCTCAGCCTTCATAGGTCGCTTGTTTTGTCGCTTTTTGTGCCGAGTCCTCATGCCTTTGGCCAATGCAACTGGGGGAAGCTTGGCCAACAGCAAGCGAATGCAAGTAATGCGACACGAGCAACACAGCACGGCAACCTGGGTTAACCCACAGATTCCTGCCTCACGCACACACACACAAAAACACGCACGCGGCAAGCCATGCTCCCAGTTTCAATTTCATTTCGACCACCTCATTCCAGAAGGGCCATGGACAAGCCAACCCCGCCGCCTGGCGTCATCCCAGGCAAGTTCGGCTCCTCCTGCAGAAGGCCGGCCGGACCAAGATAAATCAAGCAGGCCTGCTGTTAAAGTGGTAGGGCTGGGCGGGAAGTGATTCTGAAACCAACACCCTACCTTCATTGGGGCGCCACCACCGCTAAACTTACGTTGCAGTGCTAAATGGGTCCTTGAACAGAATGGTTGGATAGGAAGCAAGCAAACAAAGTAACTAAGCACTAAGCAACTAACTCACTAACTCTCTATCTAACTAAATCACGAACTACCTAGCTAGCTAGTTAGCAAGCAAGCAAGCAAGCAAGCAAGCAAGCAAGCCAGCCAGCCAGCCAGCCAGCCAGCCAGCAAGCCAGCCAGCAAGCAAGCAAGCAAGCAACGCCAACCAACCAACCAACCAACCAACCCACTCACCCACCAGCCAGCCAGCCAGCCAGCTAGTCAGCCAGCCAGCCAGCCAGCTAGTCAGCCAGCCAGCCAGCCAGCTAGTCAGCCAGCAAGCATGCAAATGAGCAGGCTAGAAAGCAGGCAAACAAATGGTACAACAAACAAACTGAACGCGACATGGCAAACAAACAAACAAACAAAGAAAGCAACTAGAAGATGATTGGCCCGAAAGCATGTCGCCGCCATGTTTTGTCAAGCCCTCGGCCCTCCCGCCCCGGTGATAACAAGCCCCCCCCTACAGATGAGTGGATTTCACATACTGGGCTAAAGAATCTGCAGACTTGGCCCTGTGCAAGTGCAGCTTTGCAAGTAGGCTGCGCAGTGTCGCGCTGCAAGCTGCCCGCAAGTTGCTACATGAAAACTGCTCTGCCCTGTTCCCCTGTGCAACTTCTCTGCGCAGGTGGCTCTTTTCCAGTGCTCTTTTAGAGGCTCTGCGAACGGTGCTTCGCGCAAGTTCTTGGTGTGGCACTGTCTGTGCCCTTGCGCTCGCGCAAGTTGCTATGCGCAACTCTGCGCGTCGATCTCTGCGAGTCCTTTGCGCACGTTGCTCTATGCAACAACAGCAACAACAGCAAAAGCAACAGCAACAGCAACAGCAAGAGCAACAACAGCAACAACAACGACAAACGACAAACGACAAGCAAAAACACAAACAATACAACAACAAACAATACAACAACAAACAACACCAACACCAACACCAACACCAAAACCAACACCGACACCACCACCACCCCCACCACCACCAACAACAACAACAACAACAACAACGACAACCACAACGACAACGACAACGACAACGACAACAACAACGACAACAACAACGACAACAACGACAACGACAACGACGACGACGACGACGACGACGACGACGACGACCACAACAACAACAACAACAACAACAACAACAACAACAACAACAACAACAACAACAACAACAACAACAACAACAACAACAACAACAACAACAACAACAACAACAACAACAACAACAACAACAACAACAACAACAACAACAACAACAACAACAACAACAACAACCAACCACCACCACCACCACCACCACCACCACCACCACCACGAACAACAACAACAACAACAACAACAACCACCACCACCACCAACAACAACAACAACAACAACAACAACCACCACCACGACAACGACAACGACAACGACAACGACAACGACAGCGACAACGACAACGACAACGACGACAACGACAACGACGGCGCGACAAACACAAACGTTCACAAGCACATCACCAGAACAACAATAGTTGTGGTTCACCACCGACAACGACAACGACAACGACAACGACAACGACAGCGACAACGACAACGACAACGACGACAACGACAACGACGGCGCGAGTGCAGCGGCGGCAGCGGCGGCGGCCACACAAACGTTCACAAGCACAACCAGAACACATCACCAGAACAACAATAGTTGTGGTTCATGGTGATCCTTCGGCCCTTTCTACGCCTGGACCACCTCAAAGTTCACCTGTGCAACTTGCCGGATTCGATAACCGGTTGACCGCGGAAATTTGGGCCGACAAAGCTCGACTTCGGCCAAGTCACATCCCATCTCCCTCAACCCCTTTTTCCCCGACCCGGCGGCTCCTCGAAATCATCGCATCTCAAGGAAGCTTCCGAAGAGGCCGTGGACATTGAGGACTTGGAGATCTGGCGCGCCTTGGGGCCTGGCAGGTCAGGCTGGCAAGCGACGATTGGAATAACACGTGGGATCAAA